CGTTTCTGATTTCGACTGGATTCCTTGGAGATCTTCTAGGAATGTTACGAATATCACGCAGTGCTGGGTTGTTGGGAATATCGGCCCTCCATGACCCTGGTATTATTAAGTCGTCTCCATCATTCAGGTCGAATGTACCAGGTGGATTATATACATTTCTAGACAGTCTACTTCTTCTCAAAAAGTTGTGTAGAACTACACACGCCATGACTACTTGGCTAGCTGATTCAGGTTCAAGTAGCATAGGCGAACGTAGCACTCTAAATATAGCAGACATAACACCAAATACATTTTCAACGATAACACGGGCTGATGAAAGCTTCTTGTTGAAAATTCTTTCTTTGGTGCCTTCTCGATGATTCCCTGGATATGGTTTCATGATATTGTTATGTAAGGCAAATGCTCCATCACCTAAGAATACATATGGCAAGTCACCATTTCCATTTTGTAGTGGAATTGGTGCTGGTAGCCCCAACGTATTATTGTTTATTTTATTCCACAGAACGGAGTTTTTCAAAACGCCTCCATCACTTATCCTCCCTTGACATCCCACGTCGGCATACATAAAGCAGTAATTACTATCAACCAAAGCTAATAAAACGATGCTAAAAGATTTTTTGTAGTTGTAATATTCTGAGCCACTGTTAACTGGAGACTGTATCACTACATGTTTTCCATCTATCGCACCTATGCAGTGCGGGAAACGTTGATGGAAGCCACCTTCTATGTCCAACCAGTCTTGTTCTACCACGGGCAACTGTAACAAAAATATTAATGTTATTTATACTTGCAGGATGAAGAACTTACGATTAATGAAGATCAAAACACAGAACAGGGCCCTATAGATCAAAATATTAGAAGCCAAGAACAACAGGAATTAAATTCAAATGAACAACAGGGTTCAACAGCAAGACCAATATTGCATAGAAGAAGACAAAATAATCCACCTGAACTTATAGAAGCGAAAAAACGAATGGATGAAGCATATAGTTTTATGAAGCAACATTCCCAGCTGCAGCTAAAGGATGAAGATGATGAATGCTCTACCTTTGGGGTACTTGTGGCTAGAAAGCTACGAAAACTTTCTGAACAACGCCGAGACATCATGATGGCAAAAATACATGAGCTATTTGTCGATGAACACGTCTACAACTTCAATTTGCCTAATTATTCTTCCAGTCGCCCAAATTCTGCTGCAACAATGCTATCATACACACCATCACCACCCCAAATCAATATCGCATCTCCGTCAGCGGTTGCAAGTTCGCCAAAGGTTGCATATCCGACAGATGTGGCATCTCTGAATTCTGCTACCAGTCAACCTAATTCTGATGCAACAATGTTATCGTATACACCATCACCACCGCAAAGCAATATCGCATCTCCTCCACAGGTTGCATTTCCGACAGAAGTGGAATATCTTAATTGTGTTAACAGTTATCCAAATTCTACAAAGGTTTTGTATACGTCATCTTCACCGCAAATGGATGCTCCTTCTCCTGCATATCATGTTGAATACTCAGAATACTCTAATGATACTCCTTTGAATCTACCGAATCCTACTTCTAGAATGGTGTCGTATACACCATCACCATCGCAAATACCTCGAGGGAAAAATAATTAATAGCATATTTAATACCTACTTAAAAATAATTTGATTACGATTAATAAAAGTTAATGAAAATTATATATGTTGTTTACCTTGATTTGATCCTTTAGAACCTGATATAAAGCAGCACACACTTCCATTATAATTCTTGAGATTATTTGACTTGATATCTTGAAGGTATAGTGAAGGCTTCTATAACTGTCTCCTGATGCAAGGAATCGTAAAGTAATCGCTAATCTAACTTTTGCAGGTATAGCTTCTCTCCATTTTGTATCCTTTTTTAGAAATTATGGGATGGACTTTTTGTAACAAAAAATTAAAATCTGCATAAGACATTCGGCAGAAATTATCAAACTCGTTAGAGGGTTCTGCTAACATTTCTTGAAACCTTGTCTCCATAGATTCCCTGGAAATATAAATAACTTTTATTGTGTATTTACAACCTAAAACCGAGGAGTCTCTTAGAGATAAATTTAAAGAAATTAATATATTAACTTTGGCCTCTCAGTATATTTACCAAAATTTTATGTATGTTCACAAGAACATAGACAGTTTTAGTAAAAAGTGATATACACTCTGTAAACACTAGGAACAAACACAAGCTAGTGACCTATATCTCGAGTCCATAAAGTCAGTAACCCGTTCTTGGGGCAATGTATACGCTATTACTATGGAGTGTCTACTCTACACTCCATAGCTATTACCAAGTTTAAATATTTAATTAATGAAAAACTCTATAAAAAGGGCTAATATAAATGAATACATGGTTGATAATAAACCCTGGGAACGAGGTAGTCGCTTGCAATCTGTTTCTAAAATAAATTGTAAATAGTTTGTAACCATTTATATTGTAAAATTTATTTTAAAAAAATCCTGCTGGATTTCTTGCTAGTTCTTCTCAGGACAGAGGGTTTTTTTTCCAACCAGTGGTAAAGTAAAAAAATACTTTCAATAAGAATTACACATGTGATCTATATTGAATAAAAAATTATTCTATTCTATTCTGTATATACTAATTAGATTTAGGTTCTTATTTTATTGGAATTTTCGTTAATATGATTTGCGTGTCATGCAAAAGTCATTCTACAAATGAAATAAACAAATTACTTACTTGGTTCGATTTTTATGCACAGTCAGCATCCACCATCGCCTTGCTCTTGGTCTTTTTTTTATCACTTTGTATTTTTTTACGCATAACATGTAATAGTAACATGCGTTCAAATAATAAAATCCAGCTGAAAGTGCAACGTCCATTTTATAGGTACAACTACTTTACGCTGGCAAACATGTTTCATTTTTTGGTATTTGGCTCCATGTGTGGACGGTTATATCGTTTATTTGCCCTTACGTCAATTTTTTTTGCCAAATACGGCAACATGCTATCACAAATACCAAATAGCCATGTGAAGTGCCACTATAATAGTAATGAATACTGTATGTGACCAAAGCTCTGTAAATGTTGGTGCTATAACAATTTATTTAATGACACAAGAGCGAGGTTTTTGAACTTGATAAAGAGTGGCGCCATGATTTATTTAGTATTAATGGTCACAATGTTATTCCATTGTATGATGTTTCTAATTTATTGAAAGGAATTAGAAATAATTTATTGAGTAAAGATATGATGTATAAATCAAACAATGAAAATAAAATAGTTAAATGGCAATATTATCAGCAGGTATATACAGCTGATAAATCACATGGGGAGCTCCGATTATTAAATAAAATAACGGAAGAACATATTGTCCCCGAGAAAATATATAAAATGAGGGTCAAATCTGCAACACAGGTTTTCAGCCACAGTGTGGCTGTGGTTACGACCATTTGATAGCAAGAGGTGATTTGCCAGTAGAATGTAAGCAATTAATTAAAATAACTTTGCTACTTGATAATTTGTTTGACATCCTCAATGGTAGTACATTTAGCATACCCAATGGTAAAATTTATAAAGGACCAATTAAAAGGAACTCACCTCATCACCAAATGTGGCTAAAAGCTAAAGAAATTTTAAAAACTGTAAGATTCATCCAAAAAAAGGTTACTGGAAATAAAGTATATTTAGTGGAAACGACTATACCTTCTGTGACAAATTTTATTAAAACTATCAACGGTATGGAAGCAATTTGCAAAGTTTTGTTTGGTAAATACGGTTATGATACAGTATTAACACGTAATTTTAATCAGGACCCCGTAAAAAACTTTTTGACGTGACAACGTCTTATAAATTGGTTTGCCGGGTGACACTTCAAGAAACTGCGTTACGCTCCGCTCACGTTACGCGCTCACAATGAGAGCGAGTGAGAGGCACGCGTCCCTTCCACTCGGGCATGGTTAGCCCGCCTAAGAGCGAGAGAGACAGACATAAAAAGTGAAAGGCACGCGTCCCTTCCACTCGAGCACAGTTAGCCCGCCTAAGAGCGAGAGAGAGAGAGTGAGAGAGATAGGCATACACACCGATTCATGTCTTGCGCTTCTATTTCGCTTAGGCGCCTGCATACAAGTTTACACGTTGCCAGTTAATTGTAAAACGATTGTGTAGTGATAATGTGAAGGTAGTTTCGTCCATCGCAACAATTCAAACAGCAAAGGTAAATAATTTCAGACTGATAATATAACATGATGAAATAAATGACTAAGACATAAGTGAATAGGTTATGTTGTAGTAATCACATTGTTGTGGTAGTTTTCAATCAAAAAAGTGGTATAAATCGTTTCTCAACCAATAATAATTTGTTTAACTTGAAAAAATGAGCGCGACTTGCTATGTAAAAAATTGAAATAACAATGTTTAACCTCCAACCTGTCAAATCGAAACTTTCAAACATTCAAACCGAGACGACTAATCACTGCGCAAGGTCGTAAGCGCGCGATTTACAAATTCAAAGATCAAATGTGAATTAGTTTTCTCCTTTTAGAAAATACACTTTGAATTAAAATCGATTGATATTAACAATTAATGTGATTTAAATAAATGTTCTAACTTTTAAATTTAGTTTTTATATTTATAACAATGTAAAACAAGTTAAATTTATTAATAACTTATAACAACTGATTGATTTAACATAAACCAATTTTGTGAATTCTCGAATTTGTTATTTATATTAATGAATTCTCGAATTTGTTATTTATATTAATAACTGTTTCAACAAAGTTCAATTTATGCAAAATTTTGAAATAAAAAATGAATTTAACATACACAAATTTTGTGAAATTTCAAATTAATTATTTATATTAGTAACTTTTTAAAAATAAACCAACCAAATTGTGATCTTTTCTATGTTATAGAGAGTTTATCGTTATAAAGAATGATGTTATAAAGAGTTTACACTGTATTTGAAAACATTTAAAAATATGAGAAACAATAATTTCTAATTTGTTCAATTTTAGTACAATGGAGCCAGATGTACAAATTCCTTCAACTTCCAGTACACCGATGGAGACTGATGATATCGTGCCACCAACGTCTGCCATACCTTTCGCTGTGCCACACACACCCCATAACGCCAAAGCGCAACGACAAAGTATGTATAGAAAACGTAAGGCCGCGGAAAGAACTCCTGCAGAGGCAGCAGATTTTGCAAAAGCAGCCGCCGAAAGACAACGTAGATGCAAGCAACGTAGACTCGCCAACTCAGCTCTTGACACCGGCACACTAGAGTCAGCCACAGTGTCTGCTCCTGTGGTAGTGGAAAGAACAGTTACTGCCCAGACCAGCGCTCAGCGACAACGTGCTTACAGACAGCGTAGAGCTGCTCAAATTGTTTCACAAATAAGTACTCCACCGACTCACACAGCAGTGCAACCGGAACAATCAACCTGGAATATCAAATGGTCGTCGTCAATAAAGAAGTTTAAAACTACATTTCTGGACAACGAATTTGGCCACGCTTGCTCTGTTTGCGACCGATTGTGGTTCAAGAATGACCTTAAAATCATCACTGCTGCACAACTACAGGTCATATCGGATTGGTTCGTTAAGGAAAATAGGCAACTACGCGAGGAGGATTATACGCATATTTGCAACACCTGTAGATTTTCGCTGAACAAACATAAGCTTCCTACCCTTGCAAAAGTGAATGGCTTCTCATATCCAGAAATACCTCCTGGCTTACCGCCACTGGATCCAATTAGTGAACGATTAATCTCACCACGTCTGCCATTCATGCAAGTGCGTCGTCTGCGGCATGACTTCTCTTATGGAATTATTGTTCAAGTGATCAACGTTCCAGTCAACGTAGAAGACATGGTAAAATGCTTGCCCCGGCATTTAGATGAGGACGACGTCATTAATGTCAACATCAAACGGAATCTCGCACACAAAACAAATTACATCAGTGGCTACATGTCCAAAAGGACAATCAAAGAATGGTTGGATGTACTTCAAAATTCAAGTCTATATCGCTTGTACGATATCAAAGTAGATTTGTCAAGGCTGCAAACTGTCGTGCCACCAGAGGAAGATTTGCAGGATGACTCGGCTCATCGAATCGAAACAATCGCCGCCGAGTGTACTCCGGAGTCAGAAATTCTTGCTTCCAGGCAGCATACACTACTGTGGAACGAAGAGGATTGCCTCGACATCGCACCAGGACATCGGGCCATGCCTCTGAACATCATTTACGACCGTCATGCTGAAGAACTATCATTTCCTGCAATATACTACGGCCAGCCTCGTCGCTTCCACATGGGAGTTTCAGTGACACCTTACATGATGGCAACCAGTGAATTACGACGAAGTGACAGACGCGGAGCCACGCCTCAAAAAGTCTTGTACGTTGCTATGAAGATTCTACGTCTCCGCATGGTGGATGGCATTTACAGCACATTTCGGAATGTGTCAACCACGGAAAACGTAACTCGACGCATGTTGGAGGACCCGGAATTTCTTAAAGAATTTGTCGTTCAAAATCTTGCCTTCATGAAGTCAGTACCCAATTCCGTCCAGTATTGGGCCTCTCGCAAACGAGATCTGTTTGCGATGCTCCGTCAACTAGGTAAACCGACCATATTTCTCACTTTAAGTGCAAACGAAGTACGCTGGTTGATATTACTGAACTTACTCCTCAAATTGAGTAACAAGTATCCTGGAAAAGTTGCTGAAGATCTAAACACGTCAGAGCGGTGCAACTTAGTGAGCGACGATCCAGTTACGTGCTGCATATATTTCCACAAACTCGTCGGTACATTGATGAATATGCTGAAGGCAAAACAATCATATAATCCATTTGGCCAGTACTTTGTTAAAGATTATTTCTTTCGCATTGAGTTCCAGCATCGAGGAAGCCCCCACGCACACATTTTGGTGTGGTTGAATAATGATCCACACGAGGCCGTGTCAGAAAATATGCCAATGACCATCGAGCTCGTGGAAAAGCTGAGTTCTGTCGCCAAAGAAGATATGCCCAACGAGACCATCTACGCCAATCAAATTCACAAGCACACTTTCACCTGCACGAAGCGAGGTGAGACGACTTGCAGATTTGGGATCCCGTACTGGCCAATGCCTGCTACTCGAGTCTTGGTTCCAATGCCTCAGACTGATGGACGCCGGTCAACATTCCAAAAAAAATCCAAGGAGCTACGAACGTGTCTCAGCGAACGTACATACCCTAGCATGAATGACTTTTTGAGGGAACATGGTCTGACATTTGATGCATATCTTGATATAGTACGTTCAACCCTTCGCAGGCCAACTTTGTTGTTTAAACGTAACTTCGATCAACTTATGACAAACACGTTCAACCCTTACCTTGCTGGTCAAATTAATTCCAACATCGATATTCAGTTTATCTTAGATGAATACAGCTGCGCACAGTACGTCGTGGAATACGTGAACAAATCAGCTCGTGGAATGGGTAACTTGAATCGAGAGTTGACTAAAATGATGGAAGAACATCCTGACCGCGATTACACTGGTCAATTAAAGGCATTGAGTGTCAAACTTCTCAATGCAGTTGAAATGTCGGCGCAAGAAGCAGCATGGTATTTGTTACGACAGCCGATGAGCGAAGCAAGCCGTCAAATTGTGTACATACCAACAGTGTGGCCCTCGGAGAGACAACGTTGCCACAAACGTCGGAAACAATTGGATCGCGAAGGAATCGCAGAGGACAGCACAGACGTGTGGACCAAAACATCATTCAGCGGTATGAAGAAAGACCTCCATCTTTGCAAGATGTATATTTGGCCGAGTTTGCGTCGTGGTATGCTAACTCTCGTGATTTCATTGACAATGAAGACGACTTGAACGTGCATGAAGATGACGATCCTGAACCGCCGACTGGAGAAAGAACGACATCGAGAGGATATCGCAAACGTCTGATCGGTCGAATCATACGATACAGATGCTACGACATAGATGAAACTGTCAATTATCAACGTGAGATGGTACTGCTGTACTTGCCCTTTCGCAACGAAGTCGCTGACATTGTTGATTGTAATAAATTTATACAATTATTCAATGACAACAAGGAAACTATCATGGAACGCAGAAAACTTTATGAGAACAATATTGACATCGACAAAGTGATGCAAGAGCTAGAAGCAATGATGATTTTGCAAAATTCAGACACCACAGAACCAACGGAAACAGAGTCAAGAAGAGTGTTTGTAGAACAGTTGTTAGGAGGAGAGGGAGCTGAAAATAACGATGATGTTAATGAAATCGTGCCGCAAAACGGATTGTCAGTTGTAAAAAAACGGAGCAACGTGATGCCAAAACAACAATATTGTGAGCTGCTACGAACTACAAATGCTGAACCACGTGAGGTGGTTCTTGAGGCTATACATCGTTTACATGGCTGCGGAGATGAGCTCCTACAGGCTCTACAAATCTTCTTCACCGGACCAGCAGGATGTGGCAAAACGTATACATTGAAGGCCCTCATGGAAACGATTGTACGTTACACTCAGAACCACAACTCACTCAACAACGCCTACGTTGCTTGTGCAAGCACAGGTAAAGCAGCTGTACCTCTTGGTGGAACAACAGTTCACTCAGCATTTCGCCTAACAACTTCTCGAGTTACAAGACTTCTATCAGCTGAAAACTTGCAAGCCTATAGAAATATGTTCGTTGGCGTGAGAGCAGTTTTCATTGACGAGATCAGCATGTTGAGTGCAGCTATCCTCGGTAAAATCAATTATCGATTGCAACAGATAACCGGCATATACGACCAAGTTTTCGGAGGCCTTCACATCATCTTATGCGGCGATTTCAGACAGCTGCCGCCTGTACGCGCTACTCCGTGTTACACAGTGCCAATCAACCAACTCGTAGGACCTATACTGTGGCAAAGCATCGACTACTTCCCATTGGTCCGTGTTGTACGACAAACTGACGAGCTGTTTTCGAGAATTCTGACTAAAATTGGAGATGGACTTAAACTAAGTGTCAATAACATCAAACTTATAGAATCCAGACATAAGTCAGAGTCCTGGTGCAAAGAGAACGTACCTGACGCTGTTCGGTTGTTTTACAGTAACTTTGAGGTTGATTCATACAATCGAAAAGCAATTAACAACGCACACAACTGTATTGCCACTGATATCATGCTCGGATATTCCAGTAATTCTGAGAGGGGCCAACAGCAAGGAAAACTTCACAAGATGTCGGTTGCAGAGACAGACGGATTGCCTTACATGCTGCCCTTAGCAGTGGGATACCCTTACATGATAACGTCTAACATCAACGTAGGAGATGGATTGGTAAACGGCGCTATTGGAGTCTTGCGACACATCGAACGTCAGCCAGCCGATCCAGCCGAAGCAGGACCATCGACCAGCACGACGTCACCGCCCACAAAAGATGAAATTATCACTCTTTGGTTCGAGTTTCCAGACAAAAGTACGGGTGCCAGTGCAAAACTCAAAAGTCGACCACATGTACTCAGCAAACCAAACACATTGTCCGTTGATTGGGTGCCGGTGTACAAAAAAGTGGTCAACATCACATTGACAAAAACAGTGAAATGCAAACGCAAACAATTTCCTTGCGTACCTGCTTGTGCCATTACGATTCACAAATCACAAGGTGGGACGTTTGATGTAATCGTGTATAAGTACTCCTCCAAGCAACCACAACAATTAGTATATGTAGCCATGAGCCGCGTAACGAGTATCAACGGATTGTATATCATCACGGAGAAGGACTCTCCTTTGATTTTCAAACATGGGCGCGAAGGAAACGACTCACAAACTACACGAGATATTCGCACTGAATATATTCGACTCCAAGGACACACTTTGCAAACCACCACTAAAAAGGCAGTCAAATTCTGTGACGATGCTACCAGTGCTGGACAAACTATCGTGACGAACATCAATTGTCAAAGTTTGAGTGCTCATGCCACAGACATTGAAACAGATACAGTGATTCCAAGATCTGACTATTTAGTACTGACCGAAACGTGGATGCGCGACACTTGTGAACCACATCCAATCAAGAATTATGAGTGCATATCAAGGAAGAATAATCGAACAAACTCAGACACCAACGCAGCAGGTGGAGTAGCGATCTATCGTAGGTTATCATCAATATCAACAGGAAAAGTGATCGATGTTGCGGTCACAGACACTGCTCGAGTTATCAAAACCTGCGGTGACTTGTGCTTGGCTGAAGTTACTTGCTTTACCGCTGATACTACCTTCAAATTTGTGCTCGGTGCTGTTTATATTCATCCAGGATTAAGTGTACAAGACATCGGAATGTTGCTACACCAGGCACTTCTTCCATACGTGCATAACAGCCAGTACGTGCCACCGTTCCTGCAAGTTGATCCTAATATGCCGATTCTTCTATGCGGTGACTTCAACCAAAACGTGAAGTCTGATGACAAGTTTCTCAAATTCATTAAAGATACGTTTAATCTTGATTGCGTATCAGATATGTCTAAGTCTACTACGTTAAAAGGAACAACCATTGACTTGACATTTTCTAGGCACATTACAGCAGAAACACTTCCTTTCATTTCATATTTCTCCTATCATCGCCCTGTCCTCAACAAAATCACTCAGATAGGAACAAGTTAAGTTGTAGTAAACGCTGTTTCATTGTACGCAAATGTATTGCAAGTTATTGTATGTATATTTGTATATAAATACGTATGTATGTGTAAAGGTAAAAATAAAATTTTGTTAATATGAAATTCAGTGCGAGATTCTTTGTATAAATTAATGTTTTAAATATAATTCTTTGTATAAATAAATGTTTTAAATTGTTACTATTATTTCATCCTTCTTCCTACTATACGAATGAATATTCACATTAAAATTATATTTACCACTCAAAGTCGTTGTCACGTAAAACTTTCGCCCGTATACCGACTTTACAGGCAACCCGAAATATTTTTTTGGAACATCAGAAGCTATGGAGCCCGAAATATTGCCCCTAACACTATTTCATTTGAAGGGGCATTTAAAGAATTATTATTAAACAATTATAATCTACCACAATCCAAAAAATGTAACTGTGAAGTAGATATGAATGAGTGCCTTCAAGGCCTTCATTTTTTTCTTAATGAAAAGCAAAATAATACTGTCGATGCTGATGTTCACTGTGAAGACAAAATTATTTTAAATGATAATTTGTTACAAAATTATTCATTACAAGCAGATGCTTGGCAACGAAATTATGTACGTGACCCAACTTGACTAAATGTTTAAAAAAAGTTGTAAAGTCGTGTAAATATTGTAGACAAAACCTAACAGATTCAAACAACCAAAATGCCAGTAATAGTTTTATAGATATATTATAGAGTTAAAGGATATAATTAAAAAAAATGGTTATGTTATCCCAATGAAGCATTGCAAAATTGTTTCCATGACCTACTAAATATTACAGAGTCATTTCTAAAAAAGACGTTCCGAAATGTAACATAACAAAAACAGATTAAATCAATTGCAGATGTACTCGCGGAATATCCTTTTGATTGCTGTCGACATAAAGAAACATTAATAGGATATTTCACAGATTTGTCAATTAATATTATATTGCGTAGTTGGTGTAGATCCATTAACCGTATTTTATCCGGCAAATTGACATATGTTGATGGTGAAGACGATGTAAAAATTGCAGCGCAAATATATTATAATAAACATGAGCATTATAAAAATATAAAAAGATGAAATAATTATCTTTCTTGTTTTATTGCAAATACCCCATAAATACCAGTTTTTTCTGTGTCATGCATCAGACGCGCGTCATTAATAATAAAGTTATCATTGCTTATTACATATATAGAAAATTAAAAAAAGAAGAATAAAAAGGAAAAAAAGGTTTTGGATACATTCGATTATGGAAAAAAGGAAGGAATTTGGTGCATTTCATATTATTATCAAAAATTAATTGAGGGAAGACGAAGATAAGTTTTACAATTATTTTAGAATGCAAAAAACTACGTTCGATAAATTATTACAAAAATTATGGCAAAAACTAAGACATCAAGATACCAATATGCGAGACTGTATATCGCCCGCAGAAAAGTTGGCTGTAACTTCGAGGTAAAAAATTAAAAACAAAATACCAACTTTTGCCTATAAATACTTTTTATTTGGTGTATAACAAATTAAAGAAACTGACTTAAAGCTAATCATACTACTGGAATGAAGAACTGAAATAAAATTCTTCAATACTTTCTGGAGAATCTGCAGATGTACTTCTCGTATTCTCACTGTCCAAAGATAATTGCGATTCAGGTCGGTTAGAAATTGGCTGTAAGCTGGAACTGGATGTCTGTTCTAAACTACATATATATGCAGAGGTCTGTGGACGACTCAATTCAGAGCCTGAACTAGTAGCTGTAGAATATCCATATGTTAGCAATGTCGGATTTTCCGGTACTGTACTAACGAATCGTCTCGCGCGCAGACTAGACGACTTCCAGCCTCCCGAACAAGCCGGTTTCCGAAAAGGTTTTAGTACCATAGACCACATACATACCCTTCGGCAAATTGTATGATAATTCTTGAGAACGGTTTCTTTACCCGTAACATTTCTTTGATTTCGATGGCCGCTCTTCATTAATACCTATTCTATTTGGTGGTAAATCGTGAAGCTGCTCCTTTCGGTTGTAATAATTTAGTGTAAATTTATCCACATCCTGTGCATAATAATACGGATTAGTGATGGGATTAGAATCATTGTGTTCCTCAGTGTTGGCCAAGATCTGCAATTAACAAAAACAAGTATGAAGTCAAAAAAAGGTAATGGCGGCTGAATTTCTAAATAGTAAAAAAAATTATTAAACTCACCAATATAGATGATATTTGACGAGCGTTGTAATCAACGTGCACTCGCTATGAGAATAAAACAATAATGAAACAATTGAGGGAGGGCGGGAGGCGCTCTTCAATCCAGGTAAGACACATCATTTTATTTAGTTAGCGGTTGGTTGCAAATTAATTAATATCTTTATTATAATGGATTTCTACAAAGTAACGACTGATTCTATCAATTATATGTATTAGCATAAGCCTAGCTTCGCACACCTGACCATAAACAGAAGAAATTACACATGTTTTATATTAATAATATAGATTTTGCTAATGAGGTAATGATAATGGTAGTAGGGCAAGTAATAGGAGCTAACACTATATTAGGTATAACTATCCACAAAAAAAACCTTTATTAGCACTAACTACAATGAAGTTAGGCTAAACTAGTTGTGTTATTAGAAATTAATCATATAGATGCGTCAATACCAGCAGTATTTCGCAAACGCTCTGAATATAATGCTCAATAACTCAACTGGAAGTGGAAGTACACTTATTCCCGTAGGATAGAACTGTGAGTATGTAGACGTTAATTTGGTTAAACTAAAAATTGTGTACCTCTACTGGAGAGAATTTTGGTCTTCAGAGGCATGTAGCTCGAGCGAAGCGAGAGCAAGTGACGCAGAAGCCCCAATTCTCACCTACTATCACTTGTTATCACAATATAACTTGATCCGTCGCTAGCAACACGGTGCCTCTATTGAACTGCACATTACTTTATCACGTATGTTCAAGTTACAAATTGCTTGTGTTTGTAACTCATAAATCGGTTTACCTATAGAGCATAATAATTTGTTTGTCTGTGTATGAATTTCTGTTTGAGTGAGGAGCAGGTCTTTTGGTAGATTAATGCGATATAAGGTGTGTTTAATTCCACGACGTAGTTCTGCCGAGGAAGGCATTATCTTCCTCAGCATATTTGGGTTTCCTTTGAGATGAAGTGCGGGGATGTTGAAATGACACGACAGCTTTGTGAGACGGCCTGTTTATTACTGTTCCATAACTTACAATGAATATTTATTTATATCAACTTTCTTACTTCACTACACCTACGGGGCTAAAATAAAATAAAATACAATCGAAGATTATTTTATTTTTTGAAATAGGAGCGTATACAAGTATACTCATTAAATTCATAATATTTACCACATCACTAAGTTTCATTATAAAACTAAAAACACACATCTATTACTTAAGGTGGAAGCGCTGGCCGTCCGTCCATACATTTTTTAATCAAATTATACACTAAACACAGACACTCCTTCTTTAAAACTAATCATTTTATCACTTCTCTACAATGAAATGAAGAGAAACGCGTTTGACCTTTATAGGCAATAACTTACATTATATATTGAGAAAAACAATAGTGAAATCCCGGAAAAATTTGACACTTTTTTAGTAGTGTGCGTGACTTTTGACAAGCAAACGAAAGGCGACCATTAAATATTGGCACGCTAGATGGCATGCAAGTGATCTTAAATAATTCTGATAAATCAATATCTTAAGTTCAATAATTGGTTAATTTCCTTTCCAACCGTTAAAAAAACAGTATAAAATAACATAAAACTAATGACCTTAGACACCTAGGTTTTTTTAATGTAAGCAACTTTATTACTTATTATTGTTGTGTGGCAACATAAATACCAAAAGTCGTAGGGACGATGCCGTCCTTCCTGACCAAAAGCGTTGCCAAACTTCGTTCGCTTGTTAGACTTGTTATAAAATACATTCTGATTTCGGTTGTCACGCGCTATGATTTGCGGGCGGAATACAAAATAATGTACGTATCAAATAAGCATGATTTATTATTGCTCGTAAAAGGAACACTACATGTATGTAGGGTCAGTGGGTCGTCTTAGGGGCGGAGGATTAGAAGTTGGAGTATACGCGTAGAGGCATTATGATATTTTTGGTTTTCTTTGCTTGATTGTTTCTTTTCTTTGTTTGTGCTCTCTTAGCATGGACGGTAACGGTCGTGTAGTGGTACAGCTGGGCACGTTGCCGCTGCATCTGAAGGCCGGCAACGCGCACCTAAGAAATTGTTGCTTTAGTTGAAAACCATAAGATGACGTAAAAAAACCCGCGAAATATTGAGAAAGGGGAAAATATGTCTAGGATATAGGTTATATACTTTTATTATGGTCACAATTAGATTTGTTTCTTTCAGTACTCAGAATACACAACCAAGAACATATGCGCGTGTAAAACCGAAAATCCGCTTAGAGGCCACCTACAGTGCTCTTAGTACTAGCACAGTGACAGCTGAACCTGTGGTTGAACCTTTAGAGATTAATTGGCCGCAAGCTGATCCTGAAATTGATTCATTTCAATCGATCGTGGAAGCTGTTCCAAATAAATGTTTATCTGAGATATCTGGGTATTGCATTGTGGACTTGAAGCATGTAATACAGTGGGCAATGCTTATGGAAAGACATCGAAATATGTGTGAATCTTCACAAATTGAATTTGTTAGTGAAAGACTTGATGGATTTCGAAGTGATTTAATTTACAAGTGCAATATGTATGATAAAGGGTTGGGGCATTTTACGGAGAGCAGTGATAAAATAAATACTGCATTTGTGTGGGCAACTGTCACTTCTGGTAGCTTCTACACTCAAGTAGCTCACATAACAAGTCTTATGGATATTCCAACAATGTCAGTTAATAAATTTCGTCGTATTGAAAAAAAAAATTGGCAGTGTGTAGTTCGAACATTTGAAGGAGGAAATTAAAATTGCTGGTGAACAAGAAAGATCAATTGCAATTCAAAAAGGTCATGTGTCTTCAGATGGTGTTCCATTTGTTACTGTATATGTAGATGGAGGATGGTTGAAAAGTTCATAGGGGCATAACTTTGATTCATCATCTGGTATGGTCAGTTAATAATTTACTAAAAACAAATTTGGTTCTTTATGACATTTTAATTATGTGCAATATTTATAAGTGTTGCTTTTCATTTCCAGGCCTGCATTATTGGTAAAGAAACTAAAAAAATTCTATTTCTTGGTGTTAGAAATAAATATTGTTATACATGTCAATATTATGAGAGGAGAAACATAGATATGAAAGCACATAAATATTTATATTATAATTTTACTGTACCATCTACAGCAATGGAATCAGATATTGTTGTGGAAGGCTTTCAAAAGAGTGAAGAAATACATCAACTTCGCTATCTTCACTCTATGTTTGCAAAATTGAAAGAGAAAGTGTCATATGGGAATATAATAAAAAAAATTGAATGCAAGAATCATGTTATCAAAAACTATACTAGTGCACTTTACAAGGTAAATGAATAAATCAAATTTGTAAAGACATCTCAAGATCAGTGGAGTATATTATTCTGTATTTATATTTTGTACTTTTTAGATCTTGGCTAACACTAAGCTCCTTCTTTCTGGGCCAAATATTTTGAAGCCGAAGGTGATGAAGCTTACACTATTAAAAGGGAAAATTATCATGCATAGCAGTGAGCATACTGCTAGGGCACCAGATTTGAGAAATGGCCTGCTTCATGTATTCGAGTACATGAAAACTGCAATGATTATTACTGCAATGTCAATAAAACACTGACAGATGGAAGTGAAAAGGAAGAAGAAAATCTCGTAGAAAGTCTGAAAAATAATCTCCAGAGGTGTGGGCTCTGATTTATGCAGCCAATGAAAAAATTTCTTTGAAGACAGGTCGTTTGTCTAATGAGACAACAAATGTGGCAGAAAACTTTATGAGCGTAATAAATAAATTCGACTGTGGAAAACGAATTAGTTTTGGAAAAGGGGGTTCTTACTGGCGATGTATTCATGTGGCAGGTAAATATACAGTATAACAGTAGAAATTATTGAACCGTAAGAAATTCTTTGATTACGGCTATGGAATATCATTATTCGCCTGCCCTGATTTAACCCAAATTATATGCAGTATGTCCTTTTTCTTTGAATATAACATTTAAAAATGTTTTCACGCCAATCGCTTCCTAATGGACACAAATGGCATAAAACTGCATGGAAAAAGTGGAGATAGACATAGAGACACATAGAGTCCAGGGATACATTTTAAAAAATACATAAAGCAGAAGGAACAAAGCAGAATACGACAGCAATCTTCGACACGCAAACGATTATTTGCTCCAAGAGAGAAAACCCAACCGGATAAGCACTATGGACCTGAAGCTTGTGATCCTATTGATATTGACGAAACACAGTTGAAGGTACAGTTTGAAGAAAGGCTAGCAGAATTCCAAGTCATCAGAAAACGTTGCTTTGATTGAAATGTCCACTGTAGGACAGGATGAAAATGATTTATATACTACTCATAGGAGTGACCGATTGACTGCTAGTCAATTTTGAATGGTGAGTTATGTGGTGTGATAATGATGTTAGTAGATATGTATACTTATAAACATACATTTCTGGTAAAAATGCGGTATTTTACTATAGAATATCTTTATAGAAAATTTAAATTTTAAAAATAAACCATAACATACATTTAGGTTATCTGAACTTTTTCTCATTACAGGTTTGCAAACGCCGTATCACCACCCCATGTCACAATAATGTAAAGGATATTCTGGATAAAAAGAATATTTGCATAAAAGACATGTTATATGGGCAACAATATGAAAATGTAGCAAAAAGTATGTTCATGCAACAATATAATAAAATTGTCCGGCCTTCAGGCCTTTTTATTGATGAAGAATTTGGATTTTTAGCTGGCAGTCCAGATGTTAAGTCTTTCTTTATCAAACTTCGATTTTATCTTTGTGTTTGGCAAATGTTGTCAAACATAATACTAGTTATAATTGCGAGAAACAAAGAATAACCAGCACTGGAGGCCATTCAATTTCTTATATCAAATTTCATGACGAGCTCCATCTCAGTGTTTTATATTTTATGGCAATTTGTTTCAGGTATACTTGAAAATTAGAGAGCTGTTGTTGAAATTAAGTGCTTTCCATCATTGGCCAGGACAAATCAAAGCCTAGAGGCAGCTGCACTAGAAAAGAAGAACTTTGCTCTAAAACTGGATAATAATGTTTTAGTCATGAATAAAAAGCAAGATTATTACTATCAAGTAAATTGATAATTCTATTGTATATATATATATATATATATATATATATATATATATATATATATATATATATATATATATACATTTTACTTTATTTCAGTATCTTATTTTCTCTTACTATAATCAAATTTTATTTCAGGTCCAAGGACAAATGCGTGTCAGCAAAATGGATAAGTGCTACTTCATATGTTTTATTTCAATCACTAAATCTTTGACTGTTATAGAAGTTTGTCGAGATAATGAATTTATCAGTAATATGATATCAAAATTATCAAACTTTTAAAAAAACTGTATTCTACCTGAAATAATATTGAGAGTTGTTCAAAAAATGCGAAATCTATAGATTTGAATGGTATGTACACTATGCTTTTACTTTTTTATTCACTTCATAAATGACATCAATATGTTCCCACTGCTGGGACACAGGCCTCTTCTACGTGAGATAATTTAGATGTTGAAATTGATAAAATAGAATTATATTGTTATTCCGGTGAAAAATCCTCCTGCAACATCAACATTAGTTGGAAATTCAAGCAAAGAATAGAAGTAAATTTTTATTTTAGAGCAGCTTTGGAGATTGAAGGTTATACAATTTTGAAGTGAATGGTTTGCCATTGAATATGTGTGTTTGCTCAGCTCCTCGTCGCACAATCTAATATACTTTGATCCATCCTTGATGCGCGTGTGACGTCGTTGGATCTGCACTAACAGGTTTTCAATATACTCGTCAGCGATTTGACCAACATTTGTTGATCTATCAACGGTCGAAAAAATCATACTGAATATGATTTTTTAGATCCAGAGTATATTTAATTTATATGCGACATTTACTTAGACTAAGTGGATCCGGAGCCATAATTGACGAATAGGTACTCGAATACGAAGCGGCAACGTCGCGTTCTGTGTGTGACAGAGAACCCAGTAGGCTACTTCGTTATAGTAATAAGGTAAGAAAATGCGTTATCTGCTGATTTTGTGGATCAAACTTTGGCAGGTTTTATTGTGGAAAGACGTTTGTTCGAGTTTTTGTTATCGTGTGAGTGAATTTGTGTTATTTTGTTCATTTGTCATAGATCAATTAGAAGATGATGGATAGTACTTTATTACAAATTAATTTATTACTGGAGTTTCTTCTATTCTTCGATTTTTCACATCAGCTATATGTTCTTTAACGCTTAATTGATCTTTTAGTTTGTCCTATGTAGGAGAGACCACACTCACAATCAAGCTTGTACACTCCTGCATCTTGCAGAAGGATATTACACTTGACTGATCATAAAAACTGCCCAATCTTCTTCAGCGGCTTGAAGTATGTTTTAATGGAAGCGCGCTTCAAGATGTAGCTAATCTTGTCGGTGATTTCTCTGACATTTGGCAGTACAGCAGGCACACGCTCGACAGTGGCTGGCTTCACTCGTTCACTGTGACGTAGGCGCGGGACCCGAAGCTTGTTGTCATGCAAAACTTGCTTGACGTGTTGGAACTCGGCAGCCAGATGTTTACTGTCACAGATTCCTCGTGCTCTCTGAAACAAAGACTTACCCACGGTAGCTAACTGTGATGGATAGTGGTTAGAATTATGGTTTAAATATCTATCGGAGTGGGTCTTTTTTCTATACACAGTGTGGCTCATTGTGTTATTGGGATTCCGAATTACTAACACATCTAGGAAAGCTAGAGAGTTGTTTGCCTCTAACTCCATTGTGAACAAAATTTTAGAATATATATAAATATAGACTTGAGATGGTCTAAAAATTACCTAATCTAAAGGTAGAATTGTGAAAGTGTCGTCTACGTACCGCTTGTAGCATTTTAGATTTCCAGGAGAAGCAGGCAGGGCTTTCTCCTCAAAGTCTTGCATGAATATGTCGGCGATATGGAAAATATAGATGAGCCCATGGCCACACTATCTAATTGCTTGTAGAACTCCTCCTTCCACAATATGTAGCCAGATGTAAGGCAGTGTCTGAGTAATACTGCATATTCTACGGGCATGTTGTTTTCTTCCAGCCTTCTGGTTAAAATTGAGACACAGTTTTCAACAGGTCATCATCATCATCATCATTATTGCAGCCCTTCACAAGTCCACTGCTAAACATAGGCCTCCCCCAAGGTATGCCACAACAGGTAAGCATGTGCAAAAAACAATATAACCTACTATAATATATATATTTTTTTATATAGCTGTTAGAATCCTTACACAAGAAGTAACGAATAATAAAACAATTATGCCAATACATACACAAACACTCACGTCTGTCAATCAGAGTGGTAGGCAGAAAATACAGCCTTCCATTTAGCACGATCCTGACATACCTCTATCGCCTCTTCCACATCCAGAAATCTACGCATACATACATGCTCGTTCGTTAATGGCACTCTTCATTCGACCCATTTTCAACATATCGCCAAAGTGGTCGATAAACTTTCGCCTAGGACGTCCCTTTCCGACTCTTCCATTCACTTCCGCAACATACATTTTATTTGTCACTCTTTCGTCATTGATTCTTTCTACGTGACCAAACAACTGACGCATTCCTTTCTTAATAATGGTCCTAACATCAAACTGTGACCAGAATTAAGAAGAAGACCATGCGAATATCTCTTATAAAACAGTTTACACTTTTTATTATAAGCATTCACCATTTTATTTCACATATTGTCTTACAAAAAATAGACTAAGAGAAGACACCTTTCAAAAGAACTTGAATGGGCTTATTTTGTTCAAATAGAAAACCTTAACCACATTATTGCCGCTATTTTTTTCCTACAAAAGCTATTAGGAATGATGATTCTTGATGAATTTTAACTAAAGGTTTGATGTAAAACCCCCTTCTTAATTAGTTGCATAAAAACATAATGTGTTATTTATAAAATAAGCCATTGTTGTTGTATTGTTTATTTTTGGCGCAACCATACTGGGTTATATATTCAGAATATACTAACAAAATAAAGATGTTCAAATGTAGCGTAAATATAGTGTGAAAGGAATTTTTATATGTAGAAACATTTAAACATTTAAAAACCAGTAATATGTGTGAATATATTACGTACATACGAAAACTTAAACATCTTATGCCAACGGCCATAATCTACATGAACGTAAAGTTACAGCCTATATACGTCCCACTACTACTGGACATATGCCTCCTCTCATTTCTGAGAGGGTTTTATTTTAGGGCAAAGAATAGTCCGCCGCGCTGCCCCAATGCGTGTTGGCGAACTTCACATGTCTTTGAATTTTTTTTTCTTATTTCTCAGACATGCAGTACGTACGTACCGTATTTAAGGTATAATAAGTATTTATAAAATCATTCATTCAAAATTTAATTAATAATTTTAAAAACATTTAATTAAATACATTAGTCGTAAAATTTGTTTTATTCAATATGTATTATTCACGTAAATAAAACCATTCTTTTTCGTATTTTTTTTGCATGAGAAATCACTATCCAAAATTGTCCATAATATTAGAAAATCTAATAAGTTATATATTAGGCAATGCACCTGATAAATAATAAAATTTTTAATAATTATTAAGCCTTTTCGATAGGAAATTTAAACATTACGTTAAAATGAGTCTATGAATAAAATCACTGCAGTTTATGTGAATATTTTGATTACCAAGAAGCAAGGTGATGTAAATAAATTATATCATAAATACGTACTCTGTATGTGTTCCATGGGAAATGACCAGATTGTTCAGTATCGTCTTATTACTGTATATTAGGTGAGACACATCTCAGTATATGATAGACTTGGGTATATCGTGCTCGCTTAAGTTCCCTTCTTGCTGCTGCGTTGTTTGACGGGTCGTCCATTCCTTCCTTAAGTACGAGCGTATGTGCGACGATACCGTGTACTAGCGGTGTATCCACTACCCCATATAATCTCGTGGATGTCGTAAGAGGTGACAGAGGGAATCAAATCAGGAGAGGGGCAGCAGCACCTTCCTAGTAACGACTAAAAATAGAAAACTGCGGTTGCCAACCCGCTACCAAGCGTGGAAACTTTGACAAATCCTATGAGGCAATCTACGGGGAAGGCCTTTGTCCAGCAGTGAACTTTTAATAGACTGCAACGGTAACGGTAAGTGCGAGGTGGGCGATGGCCGCCACAAGCGTCATCCTTGTGAACATGTGCGTTTTGTTGAGGCTGCTCTGCTAGGGTTCACTTTACACCATTATGTACACAATCCACATATTATACACAATCCACATTTTGAAACGGTAATAGAAATCAAAAAAAATTACATTTGGAAAATGGCCTTTTATTTTCTCACATAGAAGAAATAAATATATATGAAAATTATATTAAATCATTTTAATCTCGATATTATTAACCGTGAGAAGGTTTATTCATACTGTCTTTCATTTTACAACATTTGGTTAAATGAAACATTTTGAATACAAAGCACATGAACCTCATTTTGTGTAAGAGAAAATTAAAATATTATGTTATAAAAATACACAAAATATGTTCCGCTTTCGAACACATGCCTTTTCTTAGTTCGAAGATCTTCTACGAATCAACGAACTTCACACCATGTCATTAAAAAAAAAT